TTGCTGGACTTGAAGCTCGTCTGAGCTATTTTTGCCTTTTCAGAGGCTGCTGAAACTGCGGCTTCAGCGCGTCTGACAGCTGATTTTGCTCGTACAACTGCAGCAAATTCCCGTTGACTCGCCTGCCTGATTGCCTCGAGGTTCTCTTTGGATGCTGGTCCAGACTTTGTAGGACGAGCTAGACAGTCACGACTGTCCGATCGGTGGGGGCCCCCACAGTTGCGGCACTTTGTATGTGCCTTACACTCTGCGGAGGAATGCATCGTTGACGTGCAGTTCCAGCAAGCTGGGGCACGTGAGCAGCCTCGAGTGCCGTGGAATTGCAGGCATCGTTTGCACTGGCTTATTGCCTGTTTAGGCTGGTGACGAACTGCAATTCCAGAGTTGTCAAAAAGTCGGAAGCCCGGCCGAGGGGCAGACGCTCTCTCGAAGTGAGCTATCCAAGTTTGGTAAGGAGCTCCTACTCGCGACTTTCCGAGTGGACGGACACGTACAGGAACCGCCTTGGTGGTTCGAGTTATTTCTTCTGCCACCATCTCCTCAGTGACTGTAACCTTGCCCATAAGTGTGTATAGGGCCACTGGAACCGTTGCGATTCGAAGGGCAGCCAGATCCGAGGCTGTCTCCAACTTAGCCTCAACCCTGCTGAATGATTCTGCAGCGTTTAAGAGGAGCTGGCGTGCTTCTTCATTTTTGGCTTTCATAGCGAAGCCGGTGGGAACACGATACACATGTTCAATATTGGAGGATGGAACCTCCACCAATTTAGTCACGGCATCTCTCACGCCAGCTGGCGAAAGAGCGCGCCATGCATGCTCCTCTCCGAGGCGAAGAAACAGACGAACATCTTTTGGCTTTGCAGTCACAGGTCTAGCTTGTTTCTTGACCTGTACTGCTGGGTTTGGGGCGACTCGAACAGTCTTCGCTGGAGCGATTGACATTTGGGGAGAGCCCCGGGCGACTGTTGCCCAGGTCGATTTGGCCTGGGTGACTTGGCGTTGTAGCTCCTGACTGTTCATCGGAGTTCTTTCTTTGGCCTTGGTTATAGGACAACTCATGTTTTCCTGGCAGCTTGGGCGCTGTGGAAGGATTGGGGGGCCGCACTGGGTCCCGACTTCATAAATTGAGCAATGGCTGCTCGAAGATATATTTTCATCGAGTCGATGAACGGATCGCTCGACTCTTCTGAGTATAGGGAGACCGCGGTCTCGACAGCATTGATCGCAGCAGTGCAGATCATTATATTTTTTGCTGCTTGAGCTGCCCTGCGCTCTTCAGCTTCAATCATGGCTTGTAGTTCCGGGGGGCAGCCATTGATTTTTTGTTTCCTGCTTTCGCTGCAGGAAGGTTGTTGTTTTTCAGTCGCCACTGATGAGGGTTTGCTGGCGATCTGAGCAGGTGTGGCTTGATTAGCCTTATTCACCTCCGGAATTGCTGCCTTCTTGACAGCAGGAGCAGCAATCTTCTTTGATGTTGAAATGACGGAGGTCATAGGGACCACATCATCATTTTTCTGAGCGACATTCCATCTGGATTTGTCGAGACCCTCGATTATGTATTGGTCGATGACCATATCGCCCATTTCCACGTCTGGGTTTGTTGAGTCTGAGTCTTCCTGGAAGACTCTCAATCTTTCGGTCATCTCTGACTCCATCTTGTCTTGATCTATCGTGTCGATCGATAGATTTCTTGCATCTAGGCGGTGTTGCAACCTGATTTTAATTTTCGCCATGGCTTTGTGCTGGCGCGCGGGGCGAGTGATTTTCGTAGGACCCGTCGCCATTTCGGAGACTCAGGGTCTTGCGACTATGATAATGATGAAATTAGCTTGTGAAACTATGAATTGAAGGGTTGAGGGGATGGGTAGGTGAATTTTTCATCGATTTCAAAAAAAATTGTGTAATGCATGTGTGGGTATACTGGACCAAGCTAGAACTCGTTGGAAAAGAGATAATGGAATCAGCGAGAGACTGATAGACTGAGAGAGAACGAGCTGGTCATTTCTCGTAGAAGAGAAATGATATCATATGGGAATGTTCTGGCACTAGGCTGTGAACAACACAGTAAGTCTGGAGCAAGATTTAAGGAGGTCTCAACCTCCATCCATTCTTTGTAACTAAGTTTCCTTTATATGAGAATATAGAGTCAAGTCTAACATATCACGAGAACACACGCGATAGTGAATATAGAGACCTACTGTGAGCATAACTTCCCCAAGAGTATCCATCCTCCTGCTCCTATATAGCCTAGTTAACATAACAATAACCCAGCGTTTTTTAGACGTTCTCCTGAGTGGGTATTCACGGATGAGAGTTGACTTGGGGTGAAGAAAAAGCCGCCATAACTTCGCAGTGGTACTTGCAAATGAAACCTGAGGCACGAGTGCTCTTCCTTTACGTTGAATCATCTATTTTGTACTTTTCTTTGATATTGTGTCATAGCTAGATAGCTGCATACGCAATTAAAATCTGATGTCAAAAATAAGATGCACGCCTCAAGCTGAGAAGTGTTAAACATAACTTGAGCGGTGGAATCGATAAATTCTATATTTTTGCATAGGGTTTTGTAATCGACTAGTGGACCAGCCTTGGTCCCATTGCGAATGAGTAAGGATGCCACAAAAGCCATCTTCCATAGCATGCAGCCTAAATCTAACCAACACAGTCCAAACATCTGAGGAGAAAGATGGTAGCAGTAACTAGTCCTCAAGATCACACGTTAACCTCAGACTTGGTTGGAATTGATATCTGCAACGCGGAGAGCAGAGACCAAGTTGTAGAGAATATGCAAATGTTGACCGGTCGAAAGTCCAGACTCGGTAAACATTAGCTCTTGGAGATGAAGGAAGGCTCTTCTCCTAAGAACATGATGCCATCGTACACGAAGAATATTTTCAAATGGTAAGTTTCTGGGATCCAGGATGGAAATAGCGCAGATATAGAAAATGACAGGGACTTAAATGTGCATTGACCAAGCCGGAACCGGATACGGTGGAATGACATATGGAAGGAAAAAATTCATTGTAGCTGAGGTATGCTCAGATCCAACGTCGAAAGTTCGGCTTTTTTTTTTCTTTTTATTATTCTTTCTGAGTCTATGACAATGTAGGACATGCAGGTCCTCTCTGCCTACAGGCCAAGGATACCTATACCAGTAGTATATCCCCTCCTATGCCTCCCATACACCTCTCCTCAAATAGTACCACCCCTCACAAGTCCTCATCCGATCAAATACTTATAGGAGCCCTTAGCCCTTCATTATCTTCCCTCTCCAGCCAACGAAACGATGGCAATTTGCAGGTGTATGGCAGCCGGGACAAATCGCAACAACCACTGGGTACAGGGCTCTTCTAATACCAACATTTGGACTAGGTCCGAAGACATAGTGATCCCTCTGAAGCGTTCGAAGAGGCCGGCCAGCTGGGCGCTGCAGACTTGTGTATACCTCGGAGAATTCACACTCTGCGTTTCTTGCTTCTTTTACTGAATGTCGTGCTGAAATGTCAGAAAAGTCTTGACAGAGCGTGATTGCTGTGTGATAGCTTAGCCTAACTTAGGTACCGTCCAGGTCGCTGGGGAGGGCCGTTGACGCATCGACAATTGAAGCCCTCCTAGCTAATTAGCCGAAATCTCGGTCTTGGCGCCCACAAAAAATCCAAAGTTGAAAACTCCTCGAAACTATCGGTACAGCATGCTCTTCAGAGATCTCATCACCCTCTCGTTCAACGTATCAGCCGCATGTCTCTCCTCAAGATGTATTGCTCCATTAGAGCAACAGTCCTACATAAACAATGACCTGAGCTTTATATTTTATGACTTAATTTCCTCCTTGCGGGTATACGTAGCGTCGTAAATATGTAGTGAGTGATGGCCGATAATGAATGAGGTAAGCTCCTGTTTGCAATTGGGGTGACGCCTTTATTGGTCCTTGAGGCGAGATGATATGTAATTAGAAAGAGGTTGAGGACGCAGAAGATAATGGTGAGCGCTGCATGATTGAGATGTCTTCATATGGAGATGAGCTGTAGGTCACTTTCGTCTTCGATTCTTCTTAGATATCCCAGATATGCAGAGCATACTGAGCGATTACACCGGCACCATTTAAAATCGAAGAATTCGTCTCTGCCGGCTTAAAGTACCTGTACTTAGCGAGTAAAGAGCTGGGCTACAGCGGCTAATCCTACTTGGGAGAATTCGTAACTCTAAATCGGAGTTCCTCATTACGATATCTGACCGCGCTTCATCGTCAAGTCCGCCCTAAGATCCACTTCAATTCACAAAAAATGATTCCTTTTGTCGACTTGGGCCAAATTTAGACCTACCTATGAGTTGCCGATAACAAGATGTTCTACTGTTTATTAGCCAATCATTAAATTACGTGATAAATATTAATGCATGTGAAAAAAATTTGAAGTTTGCATTTCGCTTCAGCTTGAGCACCGCGTGTTCCTGTGTGTTGCTTTGCGACCAGTAGCCAAAGCTCTCTGGAAGGCACTATCTATTGAGCGTAAATTTCGATACTGAATCTTTGAAGATATTTTCTAATCCTCCGTGTAATTTGCGATGACTGTGTATGGAGTGTAGCCATTGACTGCCAGTCGGGCAATGAAAATGATTTCATCGTATAGCTTCTGGAAAATCCAGCCGCATGCTCTACAAACTTGTGCGCTAGCATATTGGCGATCAACTTTTGCGTTGATCGCCTGCAGTGTTAACAATAATTTTCTGATTTTTAACCAACAAGTTGTCCTAGTCCTATGTTGCAGAGCGAATAAACGCTGAAATATTACTCGGTGACTCTCCGTATTTTCTGGGAGAAATGAAGGATTATCGACATGCTTCGCCACTCGAACTCTAATCAAGCATGGGGCTTTGCGCTCACCTACTTCGACTCTACAACAAGCTAGATAACCTCCTTTTATCCATCTATATTTGGCATACTGACTCAACACGCATGCCTCCAGCCGAGTCATATACACGAATAACTGGGGCCTCGAATTGATGGCCAGAACATATACGCCTCTGAGGTCTACCAGGAAAAGGCCTTCGAATCAAACAACATATGTGGTGTAAGTGAGCCTGGCCAACTAGACATCAGCCCTACTTATCTACCCTCGCCAGTCCTACGCTGTTACTTCTTACCTTCTTCGCTGTCGTATCCATGCTTGTGAATAAACTTGCTCCTGTCCAAGGCGAGCACCTCGAATTCTCTACGGTTCCGGGATACTTTCTACAAGATGATCCAAAAACAATTTCACACGGTTTCGACTTTGTAAGTCAAACGACGCAAGGCTTCTAACACTGTCATGCCGACTTAGACTGATCAATACTACTAGAAAAATACCAATTTCGGGCTGATCAACAGAGCATATGACGCCGACGCTGACACCTCACATCCTGCATTGCTCAAGACCCAATGGCAACGCTTTGAGGCTGAAATAATGAGACTAAACTCCCAGAGTGAATCTACCACACGATTTTCATTATTGTACATGGGCCGACACGGCCAAGGCTATCATAATCTCGCAGAATCGCGTTACGGTACCAAGGCATGGGATTGTTATTGGTCCCTGCAAGACGGCGATGAACACGGCACATGGCGTGACGCTGAACTTACGTCTGTGGGGATATCTCAAGCCGAATCAGCCCGAGATTTCTGGGCAACCATGATCGAAAAAGAGAAAATACCCGTTCCTCAGTCTTATTACGTGTCTCCACTTATTCGTTGTCTCCAAACAGCGTGGTATACCTTTACAGGTATCGATCTACCACCAGAGCGACCCTTCAAGCCTATAATTAAGGAACTGATAAGGGAATGTATCGGCGTGCACACATGTGACGAGCGTAGTTCGAGAACCATTATCGAGGCTAAATACTCAAACTGGACTATTGAAGAGGGTTTTACAGAAAACGATGAGCTATGGAGTCCAACACTACGGGAGACCGATGATGCTATGGACCAACGTCTCAGAGCCGCTCTCGAGGATATCTTCTCGCATGATAATCAGACTTTTATTAGCATTACCGCCCACTCTGGGATGATAGCCAGCGCTCTCAGAGGTACGTAAATATGTCCTGTAAACTCCTAACCTGATGACTAAAGGCATTTTAACAGTTCTTGGGCACCGAGATTTCAGTCTAGACACAGGCCAAGCAATTCCAGTATTGGTTAGAATAGATCGAGTTCCAGGAGCTCTCCCTCCTGTTAAAAAGGCTGCATGGTTTGCGCCAGAGACATGCCTTGAACCTCCCAAGCCTGCCAATTTGGTGAAAAATGAAAAATGAAAATTTTTAAACTCAATACAAACATGGAGGAGACTTTGACAAGAAACTCTGTAGTGACCGCTTCAATATAATGATTTACAGATGATGGTAAAAAATATTTTTAAAATTTCCCACCATGTAAATCTGGTAGTTGACAATGTTGCCAAGTGTACAGTGAACGATAATAAAAATTTTGGTAGAGCTGCTGTAAATCTTATTCCAGACTTCGGAATATCAGTAGGTACTCATCTGAGGCATTATAACTTTGCTCATTCCTTGGCTATCCCTTATTTTGAGCGAATAAATTCTAAACTCAGACTTGATCTGTCCGGTAGTGCCCAATACTTTTCAAGCTAGAGCTCATGAAAGAATGCCTCTACTCATACTGTTAGATCGCTGGTCTTCCAGTCGAAACTTGGGGATTAGCACAGCAGCAGGAGATACACAGCAAAAACCGCTGCCTGTCGAGAGTGTCACTTCAGCTGAGATAGCATTTCTTATTTTTGTTTCCAGGCTGAAGGGTAACACTAACTAGTGTTGATAAGTATCAGTCAGGAGGGGTGTATTTTTTTTTGCATCAGATTTGAATTGCGTACGCAGCTATCTAGCTATGACACAATATCAAAGAAAAGTACAAAATAGATGATTCAACGTAAAGGAAGAGCACTCGTGCCTCAGGTTTCATTTGCAAGTACCACTGCGAAGTTATGGCGGCTTTTCTTCACCCCAAGTCAACCCTCATCTGTGAATACCCACCCAGGGGAACGTCTCAAAAACCCTGAGTTATCCAGACATGCCTCCATCATCTTTCAACTCTTCTCCGCGTAAAATATGGTCTGAGGCGTCTCTTTCCCAAGTGGAGTAGGTGCCCAGGCTACTCAGACTATACCGGAGAACACCACCAGGAGGCGGACCACAACATCTTCCATCGTTGGCTTGTGTTTATAATGTCAGCTGCACTCAGTTAAGCTACTATGTACTTGCACAAATTACTTTTTTTTTCATTTAGCCCGTTCAGGTATATCTAGCTACAATAAATAATAAATAGATTGTTCATTATCCTGATTTTGCGCCTGAAGTCCCATGCAGGTTTGATCAGAAGATATGTACTTTGAGTACGATGACTCAATTTGACGTTTAGAACACTCAGATTCCATTTCAAGATAACTCTCAGATTTCATTTCAAGATACCACTCGAGGTTAGCCCTTACGGCGTATAACCTCTTCCGTGCATGCCCACCACAGGGAAAAACGTGAAAACCCTGTGACTATCTGAGTGTGCTTTCATCAGCCCACAAGTACGATATTACCGCGAGAGAGAGTTGTGTGGGTTTCGCTGAATTTGGACTAGCTTTCTCCTGTACCACAACGGGTAGGTGTTCAAGCTACCCAGAACCTACTTGGAGAACGGCCCGAATGATGTACTACTGCACCATCCAACCCTATAGCCCTTGTACCTAGAGTATTTGTGCAAGCGACTATCTAATACCATCGTGGGTCCCCTAAATTCACAAGGCTATGGGTTAACAGGATCTCGTTATCTCGTTATTACTTTATGGTTCTGTAAGGCTGTTTTCTATCGTTACAACGTGATATCTTGCCGGCAAAGACGAACTCTTCATCTTCCAGTGGTGCCGGTGTAATCGCTCAGTATGCTCTGCATATCTGGGATAGCCAAGAAGAATCGCATCCGAATCGAAGTCGTAAGCAACCTCATACACATCTCCATTTGACAACTTCTCGACAATGCCTCTCTCATCATTATCATCTGAGTTCTCAACCCATCTCTAACCACGCATCATCTCGCCTCAACGATCAATAAAGAAGTTGCTCCAATTGCATACAGGAGCTTGCCCCATTAATCTCCATCCATCACTCACTACATATTTACGACGCTATTTATACCCGCAAGGAGGAAATCAAGTCGAAAGATAAAAAGTCTGGATCATGGCTTATGGGGGACTGTTGCTCTAATGGGACAAACAACTTGAGGATGAACAGGCGGCTGAGATGTGGAGCGAGAGGGGGGAATAGGTCTCTGAAGAGCATGCTGGACCGATATTTTCGAGGAGTTTTCAACTTTGGATTTTTTGTGGGCGCCAAGACCGAGATTTCGGCTAATTAGCTAGGAGGGCTTCTTTCGTCGATGAGTCAACGGCATTCCCCAGCGCACTGGACGGCACGAAAGAAGTTGGGCTAAGCTACCATACGGCAATCACGCTCTGTCAAGACTATGCTGACATTTTAGCACGACCTTCGGGAAGGAGTTGGAAGAAGGCTAGAAAGGAAGGGAGTGAATTTCTCGTGGTACCCACAAGTCTGCAGCGCCCAGCTGGCCGGCCTCTTCGAACGCTTCAGAGAGATCACTATGTCTTCGGACCTAGTCCAAATGTTGGTATTAGGAGAGCCCCGCACCCAGTGGTTGTTGCGATTTGTCCCGGCTGCCATACACCTGCAAATTGCCATCGTTTCGTTGGCTGGAGAGGGAAGATAATGAAGGGCTAAGGGCTCCTATAAGTATTTGATCGGATGAGGACTTGTGAGGGGTGGTACTATTTGAGGAGAGGTGTATGGAAGGCATAGGAGGGGATATACTACTGGTATAGGTATCCTTGGCCTGTAGGCAGAGAGGACCTGCATGTCCTACATAGTCATAAACTTAGACAGGACAATAAAATAAAATAAAACGTGACATCTTTCACTACCCTGGTAGTGAAACATTCTCTCGGAGTCAAGATCAAACAAATTTCGCAATATCGAACAAGTTGGCTCACGAGGCAATGATTAAAATTACTCTACCACGTCAATTTTTCACTTCCAACGAGATCGACTCCTACCTAACTCTCATTAAGTCTACAAGTACGACCTAGCAGATCCTCATTCCAATGACCACACCTCTCATCGACTTTCTCTGGCCTCAGTTGTCCACCAAATACATGCCTACGCCGATATTCATACCCGCAGGAGGAATCAAAGCGTGGCGCACAAATCTGGGAGACATTTCTTTGGGATGGACTTGAGAAGGATCAGGAAAAGTTCACCAGATGATGCAGAGGATGGATACAATCTCAACGGGTCTCAAATTTTGAAATTTGAAAATGAGTTTTAAGAATTGAGCTTTGTTCTTGCGCCAAGACTTCGCATGCGAGTGCAGGCGACACTACAAAAGCCGCCATGGTTGGACGGTGCTGTGATACATCATCTGAGCAGCTTTCCAAAGTAGATTTTGGATCTCTAGGTATTGTAATAACGAGGTTATGAGAAGTCTAAGAATTGTCACAATGGGTGTAACAGTCAACTTGGGTGGATGTAGGATAGCACTTTAAGTCTAACGTGAAGAAGACAGATTTATATTGTAGATCTGCTATATTGATGACTATTGAATATAAGAGAGGAAAAGGTTGATCATATACAGAGGTCTAGCAGTGAGTATTTATACACAAAGACAATATACACAATATACCATCAATAGCAATAACTGCCAACCATTCAGCCATTCAACAGCTATGTCATTAGATATACCTGCGTCATATTATCATATAATCATGTATGGTTGAGATATTGGTGTTGTAATTGCTGTGTGCCGATGACGTATCATTGACGCAGGGTCGCTTGTCTTGTTGGTTCACCTGCCCGATACTAGCCATTCCAAGTTGTGTGATCTATAAGTGGGTCTGATCACAACACTAGGACACATATCCCACTCGAGACAGAAGACCGCTGGCTCGAATGCGGCAAAAATGAACTACATGTCTGGCGGTGCAAGTTTACATGGATGACGAAGGCATGCTTGGATAATCAAAGGTTGTAAAACGTCCCTTTGGTGGGACTGACGGAGGAGGGTCCACTGTTTTTGTAAGTGAATATGTTACGGGATTAATCCCTTGTGCTTGTGCTGTCTGCGCCAGTACGGCAGGGATGGAATATAGGGACTAGCTAGCTACGGGGGCTACCAATATTGCAGTCCAGATGTGGTTGCTTAGCAACATATATTGTTATGATCGGCGCTGATAATTATAATTCCCTATGTTCACAGCGAAAAGCTAGATATATTTATTCGCTAGATTTCAATAATTAACTGATTTATTCTGGACTTGCTCTGCCGTAAACCAACACCAATTGATCCGGCGACAGAACATTCCTCACAGTGGTATTTGCGAACGAAATCAAGAGAATGAGTGCCTCTAATATCAAGAGTCATCCAGTATGTATATATAGCACCAGTCAGGAGTCACAGCTACACAGCGACAAACACATAAAATGATTTTTTTTTAAAAAAGCACTACACTACAAAATTACACGGATCGTTTGAATTTAACTTATGCCGCTCAGATATTCCATCGGCCCAAGCAGGCATCTATGGCCATAACATTTAAGGACGGAATTGAGTCGGAAAAATACCCCGATTGTTGGAATGTATTTCTTTTACTAGGCGCTTAGTGCAGTGCATCTCTCTATTGCTGAGTCATTGTCTTGATGACTCAGCCAACACCGCGAACTGGACGTTCGCAGTGTTCATAGATAGAAACAATAACAACAAGAATCCAAACCTCAACTTTCGTATCTTTCGTTTTGCAATGAACTAACCTTACGTTTACGTAAAATAAGGCCAATCGACACCAATACTACTTATCATAGGTATTCAAGCCTCCTAGGTTTCCTGTAGGAAATATATTTACACCAATCATCTGGTCTGAGTTGCTTCTTATCTCTCTTCTATTAGATGCATTAGGTGTTGGAATTCTAGACTTATGTAAGGGTTTAATGAATTCAGATGTAGTTGAAAGACAATAACTCAATAGGAATTAATAACTTGTTCCTTGGGAAGACTATCTATCACGTGCTCTCCCAAACGTTATATGCTCTGTGTAGACTAGCCTTAACTCCCTCCATTGGCCACTTGAGAATCATCCTTTCTCCCGGCACAACTCTTCTCCTGTATCATACTCCCCATGTGGTGCGTACCCCCTTAGCGCCCCTTTCGTATGTCCAGGAGCGTTGCCCTGCCACTACCTTACCTCGGAGACGGAGTGGTCCTAGTGACCAGTCCCAATCCGGGCAAAGCCCGTCACAACTTAGCATGTATGAAGGTTTAGTTTTCTAAGTAGGATCATCAAGATCAATTGAGTTGATTCGATTGAATGTGATTAAGCTCATTTAGGTGAAATCAGGTTCAGTGGCTAGGAAATGCTACCAATTTGATATTTGAGTGGCTGGTTGTTGCTAGATCACTGGGAGTTCGCAATCACTAAAGCCTCGGGGATCTGTATTTAAAGATAGACTCATCTGTGTTGGTAAAACTAACTTAACGGAATATAATATATTATTAATTTATATCGAGAAGAGAGTTCGATATCATGTACAACTATCAATAAAGTCTTGTCCGAAATTGTTCACTTGTTCTTCGCGATATTTCCTCCGAGAAATCCTTGACAATTTCAAACATTAATGTCCTACACTGATTGCTCGAATTTCACTGAAAGCCAAAATTGTTTGATACAGTAATTTTAATGGCTACAAGTTGTAATTATTTAAATTTCTTCTGGCTTGTTCCTCACAGCTTCGAAGTGTCTTTTATCTACCAGCCATGAAACTTCTCCTTAATTTGCCCACTGATGACGCGCCAAGACAGTATGTTTGACGTATTATGATAGATATCCGCACTAGAATTTTGGACATGAGACTCCGAGAACTTTCCCCTGATACAAACAAGGGTTGGGCCCTGTGTGGTAGCTTCCTGTTTGAGTAGGGATACTTCTTTGGGCCCTTCTAAAGTTCCGGCTGATGTTGACATTTGTGCATCTAAATTTCATTATTTCCTGCCTGTATCTTCGCTGGCTATGATTTTCGCAATTAGCCATTATTTGGAGTTGTAAATAGATAATAATAGGAACAATTTATTTAAGAAGCTTCAGAATTGTTTTGTACGTTATGTTCTGATAATACTTTCTCCAGATGCTATGCTTCACAAATCAGAGGAAAGTGGAACATCAGACGTAAGAATCACCAACTACAACTCTAAAATAGCTCTAACCAGCTTATTTTTCCTACAATCCCGACCCAAACTTAATTATTTTTACCTCTGCTCAAATTAGGTTGAACATCTCGAAGCTAGCTTCTGGTTTTTAAAGTTTGACCATTTAGAACTAAGGGTTGACTGGCTCAGAGCTTTATTCAGTATTTTCTTAGTGTACAGTTAAAATATGAACCACGTGTGGGTTCAAGTACTTGCCGTACAACTGTAAACATTCTGATCAATTAATTTAAGAGTATTTTCAATTATTTAATCATCATAATGAGCTTGTGAAATGGTTAGACCTGATTTTGCTGCTTGGTATCACCTTTGTGATAAGCATTTCCCGGCCACTGCCTCAACTGACTAAGCAAAAATAGCTTTCAATTAAGCTCTTACGGGATCGACTATCCTTAGGGTTGACAGATCTAAGATTAAATATGATTTTGATTATTCCCTCCTTGGTCTAGGGCTATTAAAAACTGCTTAAAAGCGTTTATGTTGCCTCTGATCAATTATTAATCTTAAAATTTATTTTGCTCAATTGTCTGCTATAAATATTTTTAGTCATCTCTTGGCGATGGATAGAGTTAAACCAATAGTGAAGTAGCATGTGGGCTATAGTTTTTATAAATAGTGCTGTATATGATTCAAACCACTTGAGATACTGTAAATACCGGTGATGCTGTAGGTTGAAATTCGGCTCGCAAAATACCTATAGCCTAGCTAGAGCAACTAATCAAGGCGTATAAGTAGCAAGTCTTTACAAATAGAAGTTTCAAGTAGCAGTGTTATCTCTTCCACTTCTAACTTAATTCTTCACTCCTTCCAACTCCAGAATTTTCATGTGCATAATATTCCCTAGAGTTTTAGGACGTCATAAGCACCATGCCACCTTCACATTACATCAGGTTCCAAATTATTTGTGTAACGAGACCAGCCGTTCATTTTATAGCCTTATATCTAACTTAATCTCTCCAAATCATCTCATTCTTGAAAATCCAACCTCAAAAAAAGCTTAACTAATCATCTTTGCAGCTCTCTAACTTAAGAGTCCTATCTGATCAGTAAAACTTGACCATGTCTCTACACTGTATGTTTTCTCTCTCGTAAGAGCTTTCCATAGTTCCGATAATGCGTTTCTTGAGTATAATCTTAATATTGCAATAATCATATGATGCTTTTACTAGAAAGTTCAATAATTTAAATCTATAGGTTTTCCAGCCGTCAGACCCTCAGCTGTTGCACTTGGTACTATTTTCAGTCACGGCGCTTCTCTTGCCATTCTAAAGCCAGTTTTTGGTGATACATATCATCAAGCTATAGCTTCTGACTCTAAAGAGGAATTTGCCAAGTCGAATGAAGCTGTTTCGGCTGCTTCAGCTTGGGGTACATCTCTAGTAGGAAGCGCACTTCAATCATATGGTGTCAGTGCCCTTATCAACGCAACTGGAACTTTGAGTTATAAAGCTGCAGCAAGTCTGGGTGCCTTGATCTTTGTTGCTTCTTCCGCTCCATCGGTAGCTTTCAGAATATGCAGTCAGAAAAACAATGATACTAACATTGATTAGTTCATGACTCAAATCTTTACCGAAAAACGACCTATTGATACTATAGCTGTCGGGGTAGTCACTCGATTTTTTGAAACAATTGGACTCTCATTATTCTTAACTTGGTGGGGAACTCGAACAAATCGTAAGATATCAATCTTTTATATGTTTAACAGAACTAATGCCTATAAGCTCTTGAGTAAATCCTTTTCTGGTGATATTATGCTTCAAAAAGATTCTTTCAAAATGAATCGATTGTTGATGGGTTTCTAGTTGTCACACAGCTCTCATAATTAGAGCGAAAGTCCAGACTTTAATCTCAGTTTGGCCGTGTCTAAAAATTCAGATCTGCTATGGAGACTTTTCTAAAATAGAATTTCCAGATAGTTATAGAAGAATAATTTTCGCTGCCAATTTATATTTTGAGCTCAAATGTTACATTTTAGAGGCTAATAATTGAGTCATAAGTATATCTTAAAAATAAGTTTTTAGTAGGAGACCGTTGCGAGCTATTGATTCATGCAAGCAAGGAGCTACTTAATCGTTACTGATAAGTACCACTAAGAGATGCAAAGTCGGCGTCTCTTATGATTCTTGTGGAGAAAATCATTCTCTTTGGGGGCTGAGATTTCAAGCTCATAATTGATACGAATTGAAGGTAATTAGAGAAAAAAATGAGGTCTGGGAATACTTCATTTAAAACTTCTCTCCCAAATACAGCCCAATGGAGTTTGTGACATCAGCTAGAACAGGTTAAGGCGAAAGCCAGCAGTAGGCATGAGTGCTGAAAACCTGTACCAGATGTCGGATGGTTAGTATACTACATCCGCTATTAAAACTGTAGCTGATATTTTATCACATATCTTGATCTACACCAGTGATCGAGATTTGTAGAAGTGTATTTATTTGTTCTAACTTGATTTCAGGTGTGGAACTCCATCAGAATGATACGTATCTGTTTAGTGATGACAAAGTGATGGTACTCGGTGTTACTTACCCACTGAGATGTACCACTTTGATTTTAAAAATAATCAATCTCGCTACTTTTTGTTGATCTGCTAACTTTTTCCCTAAACACTCAAAAGTGATATCTCGCAAGAGTCTAAAAACTCCTCTCGGAATTCCCAAACAGTTATTTAGTTTTTACACAACTAATCAGAACGCATAGTTAGCAAGCTGTAGCCGCATCAAAACTGTTATAACTTGGAGAGCTTAAATTTTATATTGAGGCGAGAGTTGTAAGAATTTAGATTCATATCTCCTTTTCTTTAAACGACTTGTGATTTTGCCTATCTAGCTACGTCACATTTTCAGTAGTTTTTGCGCAAGTTAGATGAATCTCTGAACTTCGATTTCTCATCTTTATTTCTTTCGCAAATAGCACCCTAAACTATGTTTGTTCACGCAGAATAGCCGACCCTCGTCCGCGAGTATCAACGAAAGAGAGCTTTGGAACCCTGTGATTATTCTTAGAGATAGAGACATACAATATTATAGATTAGTGACCACTTCATGTCGTCAAGGTTTCCGACACGATGGTATGTATTTCTTTTGGATCGGATCATGTAATAAAGTAGCGTTTCGGCCTACAGAGGAATAACTCAGCAGTTCTATGGCGTGGCTAAATGGAGTTTGTTGAGGCTTTGTATCCTTAGATGGCGCCACAACTGGGCAGGTTGTGGCTTAGGATCTGTGTCACCTATTGTTGTACTTGAAGTGCAAAACTTTACCTCTTTTGGCTGTAATCTGAATATGAAACTCTCTCGACTTCTTTCAAAGAATATCACGCCCATTCCATTGCGCTATTAACTCAACAGATAGCAAAGAATTTATGCGTCATTCGATTTACAAGGATTGCGAGTAACGTTCTTGAATCTTCCTGTATGCGAACTAGCAGTCTCCTATCTCGAGATTAGTGTTTACCTAGGCAATGTAACTTTTACGTGAGTGATCAGCCAAGATGATGTACCACTGCACCATCTAACTATGATAGTGCTCACATTTTCGTCTGCACGTATGTTCGATCTACTGACATATCTCGGCGCAATCCTTTTATTTTTTTGTATCAGATTATAATTGCGTATGCATCTATCTAGCTATGACACAATATCAAAGAAAAGTATATGATAGATGAGTCAATATATAGGAGCACTCATGCCTCGGATTTCATTTGCGAGTACCACTGCGAAGTTATGGCGGCTTTTTCTTCACCCCAAGTCAACCCTCATCCGTGAATACCCACCCAGGGGAACGTCACAAAAACCCTGAGCTATCCAGACATGCCTCCGTCATCTATCAACTTTTCTCCGCGCGAAATATGGTCTGTAGTGTCTCCTTCCCAAGTGGAGTAGGTGTGGCGCGATCTTTACATGGGCCTCTAAAGATGTTGCTTGCTTTGGCTCAGACCGTACTAACGACTCTGCTTTCAAGAACCCAGTGATAGAGCGCAAACGGCCACAAATAAGCGTAAACAATTGGAAACTAAAGCAACGACCAAACTCGGATAGCTAAGAGTTTATATTACCAGATGTTTAACCTGTTGCGGCCACGCTACCAGATAAACAAGTCATGAATGTGCCATGAGCAAATTTTCATCTTTCTCAACTTTTACATTCAAGGCCTAAGGCTGGACTTAGTAGCTAAATATTATCGAAAGTCAGTCTTGCTTTATAATCTATGACTTGGTTGGTGTGACAGTCGTTTTCGGTACGAATTATTTATGTTGCATGCGACAAAGCATTTTCAATGTAGACCAGATCGCTCACTATCAGACGAAAAAGTCATCACTCTCTTCTTAGAATGCCAAGCCAATGCTTCAAACCGCAAGGCAGCGTGAGACCAGAATCACAATGGCCGTCACTATTCCTATCATGCCACAGGCCATAGAGATCTGCTAGAGATTCAGAGGCCTTTTGCGAAACTCCGCAGTTAAAGAGTACTAATCCATGGTCTAAACTTCTATATCTAGAATGCTTGGAAAAATAGGAACTCCGAGCATGATATATACAGCAGGATATAGGAGAAAGCTCGGAACACCAGGAGCTCATGTTTATCTCCCGCTTTTGTATACTCGGCCTATCTCATCTGACGTGCCTGTAGAAATACGAGACCATAAAGGGCTCTCATCAACGCCAGCTGAAATCAGGTGGGAGAAACCGGCTCCAGGCAGGATGAATCGAGGATTACAGAGTGCCAAAGATGGAAAGAGGTTTCCCGGGACGCAAAGTTCTGATAAGAAACGAGCGGACGAGCGCTGGAAAAGTTATTTTGACGAGATTTATCGAAGTTTTTGACGGAGTAAAGTGAGAATGATAGTATTTACGACGTGGCATACATTCAGGCCACATAATGTAGGTGGAGGAATATATGTGTGTTTATTGTACTACTTGAGCCATAGACTATCTAGCACATTGTGCTACTCTCTAACCCAGGCCGCTCCTTGTACAGAGCTCCTTGACTCTCATATTTCTTGAAAGATCATTGATATATTGCCCGTGATGAATAGCTATTTTGCTCGGTATTTACCCGTGGGATTTAGTCACCTTCTCCACGGAACCTTCTACCCAAAAAAAATAAAATGGTAGCAATGGAAACTGCGTGCGCGGGAAAAAGTCTCAAAAAACCTGCAGCCCCAGCCAGGCGAGGCCTAGACACCGGGACCACATGAGGTGCGCATACTCATCTACATCTCCCTTGTTTGTAACATTCGAGGCCGACTTGATCCAGTCCAAAACCGCCGTATCGGGTGCTGGGTACGTTCCGGAAATTCATCGAATGGCTTTTCCTAATTATGGAGTTGGGAGTTAGCGATGGAGAAAGAGAAATTTATTAGAGCTCAAACTTAAGTATTGCGTTCTACGGAACTAGCTATATTAGAGCCACAAGATTTATTGGATCAAACTGTTTCAATTGTGATCCATCAAAATCCACAGCAGCTCTTTCGTCTCTTTTGATCGGCGAAAACAGAGAATTCGTAGACGGTATCAAAGTCTACTTACGAGCGGCCATTAGCCAGTTAGTACAATCCGGCTCAGGGGCGACACCACCAGTTCTACCTGCTCGACCTATCAACTCTCTTCCGTCGAGGGCTCAAGTAATAAGGGTACCTATCCCCTCGACAACCTAGGCTCCAGCCCAAAAGACAACTTGGGCAACAGTAGCCCGAGCAGGCTTTGGCCACAGCACTAGGCCGTTAATGACGAAGGCAGCATCGCCCGACTTTAAAACAAAGAATGCCAATTCGAGGACGACAGTCGATACACGAATGTCTCTACGTCTCGCATGCAACCATCCCCACCGATTTTTATCACCCGCTGGTGTAAGATCAGCTGTGGTAGAGGTGCTAGCTACCGCTGCCAACAACATCATATTGTTCCAGCAGGTCAAAACAGGATTTGTACTAACTGCAATGGATGAAATCGCTTGGAAAGAGCTCTCGGATTCTTGTGCATCACGGAGTGAATCTGGAATCAAATTGGAATCAGCGTCAAATCTGGTTAGGATACAAATTGCCACCATCCCGGTGAGGATCCACACACTTGCAGGTACCATCGTGATCACGGCAAAGATGGTCGCCGACGAAATCACGCGTGTGACTAAATCGGTTCCGTTCCGTGTCCGTCCCCATGGGAATAGTAAACGTGGGGACCCATACTATAACAGGCAAGCGCTCTTCTCTCTAGAATCCACGCCTCGACTTAGATTCTGCCTATTCCATGCCTCTGGAGCTGCGAAGCACTTCCGAACTCGTCGAACACCCGAACAATGCAAACGCTGCCTTGGCTTTCATGCCACCCGCGGTTGCTCCAGCGCTCCAGCTTGCTGGAAATGCGGATCAAACATGCACTCGAAACCAGAGTGCAAAGCCCTCGCACGGTGCCGAAACTGTGGAGGGCCTCATCGATAGGACTCTCGGGACTGTATAGCTAGACCCAGGAAAGATGGACCGATAAACAAGGAGCAGCTCGCGGCTATTCGCCAAATCGAGCAAGGGAGGTATGCCGCCTTTGCCCGTTTCAAACCTGCAGCCGAAATAGCCATTCAGGTGATTTACGGCTCTAAGAACAACGTCTACATTTCAGAAGGATCGGGGGTTGGAATTCTAGAATCCGAAGAGGAGCTTTAAGGTTTCAGCGAGCCTCAGTGAAGTCATCGAGGTTTCAAGACGTTAAAAGTAGGACACCGACTGGGTAAAGGGCTCCTGCGAGCTCATCTTCTGCTCTCAGCGAAGGTCGGAAATTGTCAGTTGGAAGATGTTATAGGAAAGAGAACGG